TCTGGGTCTGCACACATGCTGTTCCTTCTGCCCAGAGCTCTTCCCGACAGTCACCTTCTGCTTAGCAAATCCTGCTCCCCTATTTTTAGCACAGGGGTGACTTTATCTAGGAAGTCTACCAGATGGCCCCAGGCTGTAGGAAGCACCCCTCCTGGGGGCTCCCACTGCACACAGAACCTCCCCGACAACACCATTCACCTCACAGAGTGGAAGCAGTCTGATTATCTGTCTATATTCTCCAATAGACCATGGGTATTTGTTCGGCATCTTGGGCCCAATGGCTATTATATTTATTGCTTATTTATTTACTCAATAAATGCTTTCGGAGTGGATGAAAAGATGGAAATTATAAAAAAAAATCATGATAGGATTTTGATGTTAAAGATGGTGAAGGAGAGGGGGATTTGGAGATCCCTATAAAATGGTAGAGGTCTCCATTCCAAGTGCTCTAGAGTGGAAGAAAACTTTAAAGATATACATGTATGTTTTTCTTCTAGCAATTGTCTCAGCAACACAGAAGGAATGGCTGTTCTCCAAAGACAATTTTAATTTCAGTTACTCAACAGACATTTAAGCTTGATTAGCACAACTCTGTAAAGTTACGAGTAACAGTAAAAGGATCAGACCTTCAGGAAGCTTCCCAGAGCAATGGTTCTCATCCCAGGCTGCCCATTAGCATCATCTGGGAAAATTTAAATAATCTGTATGTCCAGCTCACACCCCAAACCAATTACAACAGAGGTTCTGGGTGTGGGACCCAGTCACTCCAGTATTCAGCCTCAAATCAAGAAGCACCTGTCTAGGGAAACCTTTGTTTCTGTGAGAACAGGATCATCAAGGGATTTTGACTTTCCTAAAAAAATCCAGCATGATGCTTGTCTCTCTTCAACATCGGTGTAGCAGTATTTTTGCATGCCAGATTTTTGCATGTTTCTTTGAGACTTATTTATTTTTGTAGATAACAGAGGGAAAAACAGAATTGTAACTCCAAAGAAACTGAAGTGTAGGTATTTTCAGGAATTCTTTCATGTTCATATTTTATAATTTTCTCTCTCTCTCTCTCTCTTTCCTTTAAGCCCTTTCTCCCATGCAATTTACTTCCACCTCATTATTAATCACTTCTTTGTTTTATTACCCTGACTTCTAGGAAGCTAAAATAAATGTGTTAAACATATTCTATAAAAAAAAAAGGTTATATTATAGTCTCACTTATCTTTCACACTCATAGTTACCTTTTTCTCATTAGGTGTTATTTTTATGTGTGAAGGTTAAGTTAACCTCATTAGGGTCTATAATGACTTTGACTTCTAAATTACTGCGCAGTCTTCTAACTGTACTCAAATAGGCTCTCCCTCTATAGGTCATCCATCAAGGTGCCATCTCAGATCTTGAGAGCAATTGTAAACAGCCGTCCTTCCTGAGGGTTGCCCATGGGATCAGCTCTTCCAAAGTACATAAATCTATTTAAGTTCTGTAAACACACATCTAGGTCAAGAATGCAATAAATAAGCCTCCTATTGGCCTCATCTTGTGACTATTGACTGTTTAATGAATGTTTGGTTGGGAAACCTCCCCAGTGGGGTTTGTCTGATCTGACTTGGGGGGAGGGCCTGGGTGGCCCTGGAACGAGATGTGTGCACGCACAAAAATAACGCGGGGGCAGAGTTAAAGTATGAAGTCTGGGCTCTGTCCCATTGGGTCGGTGATAATGATGGTGATGTTGATTCCTCCTATGTACCATGTGTGCTTCTCTTGGCACTAATACAGGTTACTATGTAACAAATAACAGTATAATATCATTATTATGATATAGTAATCTATAACTTGATATAATATAGTAACAGTACATCTCAGCCTATTATTATCCCCTATTACAGATGAGGAAACCGAGACTCAGAGTTTTGCCAGTATTTGGTGTTAAAATCATAATGACCCCAAAGTCCATGCTGTTGCCTACTATGACTTTCAAGCTTGACAAATTACTGCATTTCTATGGGCCTTCTTTTTTTTAATTTACCGCATCTGTAAAATAAAACATCTTGAATGCTTTTTAGCCCTAAAAGTCCATGGTTGATTTTCTGTCTCAATAGAATCAATGAGGAGAGTTAACACTTGGTTACAGGAACATTGAGATGAGTGAGGTGTAACAATGTATTACCACCAGGGGATGAAAAGGAAGCAGTGATATATTAGAAGCACAAATACTGCCTGAGCATAATCTTAGGGGGCACTTTAAGGTTATACTCAGAGAACTTCCATTCAGAATGGACGGCCAAGGTTTTATTCTCTTCCTCTCAATGGGTTTTGGTCAATTTTTCTCCATTCACACTCAAGAGAAGAATTGAATCGGGTCTTCCTCGAAGACAGAATTATGGGACCTTTTAAAAGATTTCTGGAATTGAGTTCAACTCTTAAGTTAAAACTTTCCTAAAACTTCTAAAGAAGATGATTTGGTCAAATTCCGAGGAAAAGTTTCCTTAGTCCCAGAATGATCTCTTGGCTTAGCATTTAATTCTACAGATTCTAGGGTCGGTGAGATTTAAATTTGAATTCCATCTCTGCTATTTATTAGCTCTTTGGTCTCGGACAAGTTACTGCTTTTTATTGATCATCACTATTCTTATTTACAAAATGAAGATAATAGGACATAGGAGTACTTGCAGGTTTTTGTGAGGGTTTACTGAGATCACAGAGATAAAGAACCAGACACAGTTTTTACTCATACAAAGCTTTAGGCTTTAGGGCACCAGTAGCTGCTTTCTGTTTACATCCTCGTCATCATCATCACCTCTAGCAGCAGCGTTTCAACCAGGTTGGTCGCTTTTGGTGTGGTGAACAGGTCACCTTCTCTAACAAGGAATATATTCAGCTACATTTCCATCAGTGGCTATTGTCTCCCAACCGTGGTCGCTCCCAGAAGAACGACACAGAAACCAGAAAGAGTGAGGTTAACATTCCAAGTGGGAGGCACAGAATGTCTGTGACCAGACCTGCGGGGGAAACGCATTAACCCTGCCCATAAGAAAATGCACACACGCATCAAAACAGGAAGATTATTAATTTTCTTTAAATGTGCACTTTCTCCCCAAATCAGGACGCTCTCTGAATGCTTCATTTCATCCCACTGTCAATCACGGAGTTATCCAGATACTGCAGAGAGATTTCCAGTAGACCATGAAAAGGCGAGGTGGGGGGGGGGGGGTTGAGGGGAAAGAAATGGAAATGAAATAGACAGAGCTGGATGGACTTCAGAAATGAGGGTGGTGGAGGAGACAGGGAGGGCCGTGTGCTGGAGACATTGCTGGATCTGTAAGCCCTTCTGATTTTGGAGCCCACAGCTGAATCTCCGAGGTCCACCTGGCTTTATCCTACTACATGACGAGGGTCATGACATGTGCGGTCAGGGCTAATGCTGATGAAACTCCTTAAAGTGTCCTGCATTTGTGATGTTTAAAAGTCAGTAAAATACTTTACCTAATTTTTAAGCTCTGTGTCAAAATGTATATGAATAGGTGCTGAACTTATGTACATATGTGTGTATATCTATGTAAACACATGTACTATGTTTGTCGATTAAGGGACATACTATAATCTCCATGTACACGCATGTATCTATGAGAAATAGAAATTTGTTTGCTTTTTTCCTATTGAAACATTGTCTGGCTTTATAATTAGTGTTTATAGGAAATACAGTCGAGGTTTATCCTTGGAATCCTCCATTCTCTTGCATTGAAGGATCATTTATTACGGCCTCTGTCGGCCCCGAGGGCTGCACGTACGCTCCGCCTTGGCCACTCAGAGGCGCCCTTGAACGCAGGCCCGCGCTCTGCTGCCGGCCTTGGCGGGGCCTGCGGGCCTCCACTTGAAACGCAGCATTTGTTGAGCTCATAAATTTTCCTGTGACCTTCAGTCCTCGTCTAGGGAGCATCTTATTGTACAACTGTCCTTCCTCTCTTTTGGTTTTATATTGATGATTTCTCTATTAATCAGAATATATATATATATATATTTTTATCCTCGTCTGAGGACATTTTTTCATTTTTTTGTTCAGATAGAGTGGGAGGGAGAGAGAGGGAGAGGGAGGGAGGGAGTGAGGGAGAGAGAGAGAGAGAGAGAGAGAGAAACATTGACGTGAAATATACACATCGAGTGGCTGCCACCCACACGACCAACCAGGGCTGGGGACAAACTGCAACCGAGGTACGTGCCCTTAGCGGGAACCGAACCCGGGTCTCTCTGGACCGCAGGCCGACGCTCTAACCGCTGAGCCAGTTCAGGACAGAAAGAAATAGTTTTTAGAATCTAGAAGGAGGAAACACTGGCTTGTTCTATACAAGTCAACAGGATGTTCTTCATCCCCTAACTCTTCTCCCTGATGCCCTCTCTGGCTGCTTCTTCCTGCCTGGCCTCTGTCTCAGGCTCCTGCTGCCTTCCCCAGCCTGGGGGCGAGCGCCATGCCTCTGCCTTTGTTCTCTAGTGGCCGGACCGTCTCACGCCAAACTGATTCATGGACCGTCTCCTGCTGGGTTCTGGGTGGGACCAAAAGATGAAGAATTCGTTAGGGTGGGAAGACTGAGTAGATAACACTCCACACTCATATCACACACACACACACACACACACACACACACACACACACACACACGCACACACAGGGCAGGGGTCGGGTGGAGAGGGGAGTATGGTTGAGTAGATCCTTTGGTCATCAGAGCTAATGATTTCTGCTGCTTGTTGAGCATTTACTGGATCATATTCTGTAAAAACCTAACTTATATAATCTTCTGATGACCCTATAAAGGAGCTATTATTATCCCCATTTTTTCAGATAGGAAAACTGGGAAAGGGTGAGTAATCAGTTAAAAGTCAGAGATTTATGAAGAACCCCAGCTGGAGTCTGAGCATTAGTCTCCTGATTCCAGACCATCTGGTCTGCACCGCTCTGCTCCACTGTCTTCCTGAGGGGCTCACCCAGGGAGGGCAGCTCCTAAAAGCCTGCTGAGGACCACTGTGACCTCTGACTCTTCCTCCTCAGTCAAGGGTAATTGGCCAGTAGAGGATTAATCAGCCATTTCACTCCAGCCCTGATGAGGGATGAATGAACAGGAGGACTGCAGAGACAGGGCTCACCTATGTCAACTGTATTATTTTTATTTTATTTTATTTTATTTTATTTTATTTTATTTTATTTTATTTTATTTTATTTGCCCTTGACTGGGAATAGAACCCGAGACCCTTTGGTCTTTGGGCTGATGCTCTGACCACTGAGCCAAACCTGCCAGGGCTCACCTCTGTGAATTTTAAAGCCCTTAGGTGTGTCACAACCTTCCAGAAGTTCTGATATCTCATTAGTGCGTTTAGGTTTTATCATCGCCGTGGCTTCTGGACAAAGAGCCGTCCAAAGAGCTCTGGTTCCGGGAAGAGTAACAGTGACACGTAGCGACTGGCCAGCTCATTCCCAGGGGAGTCAGAGGGGAGGGCGTGGCTCTGTGTACAGACTGTCAACACTTTCTAGTGCACTGTCTGTGAGTTGGACTGGCCAGGAGCCAGGGATGCAGCCACACCTGGAGGGATCCCTGAGCTGCAAACTTTATGAAGACGACCAAAGGATTTCTTGTAAGTGGGAGAGCCCGCCCTCTGAAATGGAGTTCGTAAAATGTGTGGCCTTTTTCTGCCAGAATTTTGTCCCACTAACTCCCCCAGACTCTGGCCCTGCCCCACCTCTGCCCCGTCACAGGGGCCATGGATGGACATTCTTTTCTCTGCTTAGGCTCTTGGCCAAGGCTTCGAACACCTGCTGCCTGTCCCACGTCTGGGTCTTGCACGCCCTGTTCCTTCTCCCTGGCGTGCTTTCTCCTCCTTGTCTACCTAACGGACTCACATGCAAGTGTTCCTTCCCTGCACCCTTGTCCCGTCATGTCCCCAGTGTCGGTGGCCCCCTTTGAGCTCCTTGTTACGCATTAACATTTGTTTCTACCGCTGCCGAGCCCAAGGGGCACACGCTGGGGTCTCTGTGCACGTTTGTTGGCTGAACTTGTCCGTGGACAAATGGCTGAATGATGAAGGATTGGGAAGGCAAGATATTCCCCATGCACGGGCCCTTCTCTGGACTCCATTCGCCCTGCATTTCAGCACAAGCACCACTTCCTCGCGCACACACTGAGGGGCAGAGCAATGCAAAGAGCTGCCATGGATGCTTGTGCTGCGCGCGTTAGAGAAACCCCGATGTCTTTCAGATCCAGGGGGTGCCTGAGCACATTTGGTAGGGAGATCACCCTGTCCACTGTGTGGAATGTAGGAGAGAGGCCAGGAGACTCGTGGAAAAGAGATTAAGTGGGGGCTATTACCCTTGAAGTGAGGAGGCTGAGAGTTTGCAGTTGAGTCTGTGGCACAGAGAGGGGGAGATGGGCCCCAATCTTGAGTTCCGTGCTCAGACCTGGGGCCAGGGCATCACTGCGACTGTGAGCAGCGGAGTGTAAAGACAGACGTGTGGGGTGGCCAGGCTCAAGGGCAGAGCTGTCCACACATTTGTAGGGTTAGCTGCTCATTCCAGCAGGGAGGCTCTAGTTCACGTAGGAGGGGAGCTTCGTAAGGGGCACTGTTTTGCGTGGCAGGAAGGAATGGAAGGCAAAGCCGACGTGGGATGGGGCTGTGGATACTATTTCTTGTCCAGTACAGGGGACTGGGCGAGACATCGAAGGCCTGGTGTTAGAGGTCAGGGTGACAACGACGGGCTGTGGACGAGCCCTGTGGAGTCAGCCTGCTCTCCTTGCGGAGGCTGGCTGGGGGAAACAGGTCTGCAGTTCGTTACAAAGACACTGGCGTGAAGTTTGGCGGCGCTGATGTTTCTGTCTGGGTTGGGGTAGAGGACTGTGTCTTTTATAATGGTCTCAATCAATACTTCTCAAGCTTCATCTGTGTGGGAATCACTGAGGATCTCGTCAGAAGGCAGGTTCTGGGGTGGAGCCTGAGATTCTAACTGGCTCCTTGGGGACGCCCACAAGGCTGCTCCCGGAACCACCCATGTGCCATGCGGGGCTCAGCTACAGTCTGCGCGAAGAGGCTTCCGATGTCAGTTTAGAAACTGACCATGTGTCACGCAAGACGCTTAGTCAATCAACACGTCAGTTTTCTATGTACATTATGGAAATAATGTGGTTATTCCTTGCCCTTGAATCTCCCTCTTAGGGATAGTTTACGTGGTGGGGCTTTGAGATACTCAGCACTGGGTCGAGGGAGGTGGTTTATCTGCAGCTCTAGTTCTAGGAATATGTGTGTTTACATATTAGGACTTAGCTATGACATCAGATCATTGTCCTCACCCCTGCTCTGCCATTAACCTGTTACATAACCCCAGGCAAGCCCTTTTTCTTCTCTCAACCTTACCTACCTCCTCTGTAGGATAAACATTAAACATTCATTGAACCCATGTTTATCAGTGCCTGTTACATAGCAGACGCTATACTGCGCACTGAAGAAATAACAGTAAACAAGGTCTTGCCCTCACCAAGCGTATATTCCGGTGGGGTAGGCAGGCAATGGTTACTAAAAACCAAATTGTTGCAGAGATTACAGAGTAAGCTCTGCAGGGAAGATACACAGGTTCTTGATTAAAGCCCAGAAACAGCAGAACATGAACTCAAGATGTTCTGGAGTAGCTAGATAGCAGGAAGAGCTGATCGGGAGAAGGGCAGAACGGCACGCGTCTCGAGCAGAGACGGCACCAACGTCCTGTGTGGGCAAAGGTCTTGGCTGCAGTTGGGACTCTGAGTCTGGCGTGGACGAGACGCATTGAAGCAGATGAGTGGGTCCTAGGACGCGAGGTCAGGGACAGTGGGGCCACGTCATGCAGGACCTCATAGTGAGAAGAGAGAAAGTGTGGATTTTATTTTTCATGCAACAGGAGGCCACTGAAATGTTCTAAGCAGAAGAATGACATGATCTAATTTATTTATTTGTTTTTATAAAATACTCCTCTGGCTGGTGTCTGCCGACTGGGTAGGAGGGATCCAAAGAAGTGGGGTGACAAGGCTGTAGGTGAGAGATGGGCACCTGGGTGATCACTCACAGAGATACCTGCATGAGGACTGGGCACAGGCTCCAGAGCTATTTGGGACCTAACACTCAGAGGACTTGCTGATGGATAGATGTGATTAGATGGTGCTTGGGGGAAAGGTAAGATTGGAAGAAGAGTCGAATCGAGGTCGTCTCCTAAGTTTCAAGGTTGAGCAGCGGGGTAGAGGGCGGAACCTTTCTGAGCTGGGATGATTGAGGAGGAGTGTGTGTGGAGATAGGAGTCCTACAGGGTAGGCTTGAGGATACAACGAGATAGATATTCTTCTGCACAGCGCCTAGCACTTAGTGCTCCTGCTCCCAGTGACTGTCGTCGCAACTGTTCACGAGGAGCTAGCTAGACACACCAGACGCCCTCCATCAGCAGAGACCTGAGCAGTCTTTTGGAGTCAACAATCACACTTTTATTTTCTCCAGTGAAAAATAAATATTACTCTTGAAAACCCTGCCTTGGTGACAGAAAGATGGGGTAGATGCATGCGAGCCTGAAGCAACATCAATCAAACTTTCAGCCAAGCTCTGATGACAAGATCTTCGTTTCTGGCAAAGATATAAAAAGCAGAAAGGGCGCAGCTGGGTTTTCAGCTCTAGGTGGTCACCATGAGTTCTGGGAATTGGACCGCGCATCTTCGAACTTGGAAACGGTGGTGATTTGTCTGGAGTAGCTGGAGGGAGGAACAATACAAACGTCTTCTACCCCAGGTTCTCACGGTACCATCTGCACCGGACGGCGCCTGGCTGCAGCTGTTTGGTCTTTGCTAAGCACCCACCCTTTCAACCAAGGTTGTTAGGTGGGTGGTTTCGCCCCCTGATCTTCATACCCGTGGCTTCATTTTGTTAGCATAGATTTGTATTAGTTTGCCAGCCTGGCTACATATTAAAACTGCTGGCAAGTTTTAAAATGTAGGGTATTAGGTCAGCCCAGGAGATCGAATTCTTTATACCTGTCAGTCTAAGTTGTTTTTCAAATGGCTCCTACGTGATCGGTCTACAAATGACATTTGGAAACCACAGGTCTAATGGTAGGGGCGTTATGTCAGGATTTCAAAACGGAATTCTGTTCCTACTTTAGCCAGTGACTTGCCTGCTATATGGCCTTGGGAAGGTCACTTGGTGGTTATTAATGTACAGTTTCCTGCCTGTAAAGTGAGGTCGTGTCGCCTCTGTTCCTCCTCTGGGACACAGAAGACGGGGAGCTGACAAGTGGGGAGTGGATGCTCCCTGTGGAGAGCACCGGGCTTCGCCCAGGCAGCCAGACGTTAATCAGGAAAGGAGCAGAGGGAGTCGGACAGTAGGAGCTCACCCAGCCTGGCCCTGGGATTAGGGGGCAGGGGGATTCCTCTGCGGGGCACATGCGCAGTGGAAGCCAAGATGCTGCAGGGGGAGGCCCCTCTACCTTGAGGCATGCACAGTAGTAGGACCAAGACAGCCACCGTAAAGGGGGGTAATCCGGGCAAAAGACCGGATTGGTTAAGGGCGGGCTCAGAACAAGCCCCCAGAGGACTGTGAAAGGGACCTGGTCTCTCCGAAGCCTGAGGTCACATCATCCGAGTGTAACCGAGGCCTCTCGGTAGCACACCTGTTCCTGCGTCGTCCCGTCATCCCGCATTCCCCTTCCCTCCATGGCAGCCCTGCGGGCCCCCGGCTGTGCGGGCCCCCGGCTGTGCGGGCCCCCGGCTGTGCGGGCACAAGCGCGGGCCCCCGGCAGTGCGGGCACCAACACAGGCCTCCAGCGTGGCTCCCAGTAGGGCCTGGAAGCTGCGCCAGGTGCTGCTCCGAGGGCGGTCTGGGTACAGCAGTGCGGCGCCCCCGGGAACAGAGGCTGAGCTGGCCGCCGGGGACAGAGACTGGACTGGACTGAGCTCTGGCAGGGACTGAACCAATGGCACAGAATTTCTGGACCCTGGCCCTTTCCTGGGCTTGATGAAGACAAAGCTGGCCCTTCTTCCACAGTAAGACAGAGCTGGACATCTGGCGTGGCTGAGACACAGACTCCGGGCACCTGGGGACAGTCCTCTGTGCTTGTTCCAGCTCAGTAAGTCGTAGTGCTGCACTCACCTCCCACGCGTGGGTCCCTGGAGTGCATTTCTCTCCACTCCATGGAGGAGCCCTGTTCTCACCGGTATCGGGATGATCAAAGAAGCCTCGGATCTCTGTCCCGGTGGGGACCTGCCTGTGTGCCTTGGTCCGGTGTCCAGTGCCATCAATCTCTGAAATGCGAACATATCCACGTCCATGACTTGAGAGTGCCACTTGCTGTGAATGCGTGCGCTCTGTGTGAAGGAGTGGGTCACGGTGGCTAAGCCGGTGTTTTCACTGAAAGCGTCGTGGTCCCTCTTCAACACCAGGAACGAGGAGGGCGGCCGGGCTCTGCTGGCGCGTCCTGAATGGTGTCGGCTCCAGGCCTCGGCAGGGCCTGTGCAGGGACCACATTCCCGGAGGCGGGAGGACTCCAGGCCTCTGCAGGGCCTGTGCAGGGACCACATTCCCGGAGGGGGGAGGGCTCCAGGCCTCTGCAGGGCCTGTGCAGGGACCACCTTCCTGGAGGGGGGAGGCTCCAGGCCTCTGCAGGGCCTGTGCAGGGACCACCTTCCCGGAGGGGGGAGGGCTCCAGGCCTCTGCAGGGCCTGTGCAGAGACCACCTTCCTGGAGGGGGGAGGCTCCAGGCCTCTGCAGGGCCTGTGCAGGGACCACCTTCCCGGAGGGGGGAGGGCTCCAGGCCTCTGCAGGGCCTGTGCAGAGACCACCTTCCTGGAGGGGGGAGGCTCCAGGCCTCTGCAGGGCCTGTGCAGAGACCACGTTCCCGGAGGGGGGAGGGCTCCAGGCCTCTGCAGGGCCTGTGCAGAGACCACGTTCCCGGAGGCAGGAGGCTCCAGGCCCCTGCAGGGCCTGTGCAGAGACCACGTTCCCGGAGGGGGGAGGGCTCCAGGCCTCTGCAGGGCCTGTGCAGAGACCATGTTCCCAGAGGCGGGAGGGCTCCAGGACACTCTGAATTCCTGCCACAGGTATGTGCAGAATGGCCAGGACCAGCTCATGGCGTTCGGGTACCGACTCTGTACCATGGATGCTCAGGACAAGTGCCCTCAGCAGCCTTGACAGGCACCGACGTGGAGCCAGAGAGACAGCCTGGTCATTGGGCGCGAGGAACAGATGCTTTGTGAGAATTCTGAGGAGGGACATGAAGGGTCACTGGACGGAGTGCCGTGCAGAAGCTGTGGCAGGCTTTGGGAGAGAGGGCCATAGGGGCCAGCCCCGCACACGGGAGAAGACGCTGTAGAAGCCGTGACGTCGGGTGGGCCCAGGAGCCCCTGCGGAAAGGAACTGGATTTCCTAGGGAGTCAGAATCTCTCCGCCCCCAACCCGCCTGCGATGCTGTCTGTGGGGTCTGTGGGGTCCAGGGCCACTGTGATGCCGCGTCCCTGTCTACCTTCCAGCTCTCCCCTTCCTTCGTTTCACGGTATTCAGGAGGTTTGCAGCTCAGAACTTTCCCTGATGTCCGGGCACCATCGGCTACTCCCACCTTGGTCTGCGCCATCCACGTTGAGCTCTCCCTTCGCCCCGAGGTTATTACACTGGCAGTGGCGATAGGAACTCGACCTTGTTGAATGGGTCCTCATTCCAGGCACGGGAAGGGAGGACTGTTTTCCTAGCTGAAGCGTTTCAACCAGTTCAGGGAAAAATGCCACATGGAATCAAAACAGTATCGTCCTGGCCAAGCAAGGGTTTTCTTTCTCACTATTCTGACATGCAAGGCTTTGCAGCCCGGCCTCTCCCCTGATGTCGGGGCATCTCCTGCTCTCCCCCATGGGGGATGTCCATTCAGCAGAGGGAGGGGAAGAATCGTGTCTGTGGGAAGTAGTGCCAAGGAGAGAATCCCTGGGGGGATCCAACCTCTAGTGGAAAGAAGAGTCGAGTGTCCAGTCCAGGAGAGGGGAGAGAAAAAAAAGAAAAGGAGCTTCCTTATGGTCAAACAGAACGGCAGACCCTTCACTGAAAATACATTTGGGAAGAGATTGTAAGATGACATCTTCCATTAGGGAAAGAAGCCACATACCCGAGCACACAGTGTGTTATTTCATGTACCTACACGAATCCATGCTGACGAAAGTCAGAAGAGTGGACTGCCGGGCAGGGGGGAGGGTGAACTGGGAACGGACACCTGGGAGTGTGGGGCTGGTGGTGCTCTGTGTCGTCGTCCGGGTGACGGTTACCATGGTGGGTACACAGGTGTGTTCCTATGGAAGAGTCTTTGAGCTGGCTACTGAGATCCGTCTCATGTCATCTGTGGGAAGTATTACTCGACACAAACGTTTGAAATTAGTCTTCTGTTTCTGCCACACCGATCGATATGGCACCAAGAGAAAGGAGTCTGGGATGCTGGGCAGGATAGAGATGCTCTTACTGCTCAGAGTGGACCATAGAGCCTCGAAGGGGCGATTAAACCCGACACAGCAGAAGGCCACAGGTTTCGGTAGCGGATTAAGCGTGCTCCAAGTCCTGTCTGTAGGTTTCCTGTGGGTCTCTGAGCTAGTTTTAAATCTCTCAGGAGCAGTTTGCTCCTCTGAAATGTGGAGAATGCTGTTTACCTTTCACTGCTGTTTGGGGGATTCAGTAAAATAATGAATGTAGTTATCTTGCCAGACACCTGTAACATAGCTTCAAATAGTATTTATTATTATTATTTTTTTTTTATCCTCACCTGAGGACATTCTTTCATTTTTTGTTTAGATAGAGCAGGAGGGGGAGAGAGGGAGAGAGAGAGAGAGAAACATCAACATGAAAGGGGATACATCGAGTGGCTGCCACCTGCACGACCCAACCAGGGCCGGGGACAAACTGCAACCGAGGTACGCGCCCTTAGCGGGAACCGAACCCAGGTCTCTCTGGATTGCAGGCCGATGCTCTAACCGCTGAGCGAAACCATCCAGGGCCCAAATAGTATTTATTATTACTAGATAGTAGACCTACGTCCACGTGAACATCAGTGCTAGAGAATTCAGTTGTGAAATCAGATCTATATCCTCAAGGGTTCCTGGGAATAATGGTGTGAGGGATTCTTTAATAATAAAGGAAGCTTCTCTTCACTTCTTTCTAAGTGGATATTGTTAAAATGTTAAACTATTAATGTTTATTTAAATTAATTGAAATCAAATGCATTCTGTGCCATAGGACCTTGGGCAAATTACTTAACATCTCCGAGTGTGTTTCTTTGTGAAAGAGGAATAACAATACTGTTTTATTAGGAATATTCTGAGAATTCAGTTGGTTAAAATATATAATGTACTCTACAATGAGCCTAACACACTGGGAATTTGGGTTGAATGATTTAATTTAGACAAATATTTAATAAATTCCTAACATCAGTCAGATATTATTTAGTTCCTCTGAATTAAAAAAAAAGAAAAATGAATACAAATCCTTGTCTTTAGGAAGCTTCCAACCTACTGAGGAAAACAGAGATGCACATTTATAAACCAATGTGATAAATGGTACACTCATGTAAAATTAGTACACAGGGAAAGTGTACATGAGGCATTGCACAGCATATACAGTGGTCAGTTAAAAGTACCTGGATGCTGGGCATATTTAAATTTACAAAAGGCATCATGAAATTGGAAAATAACAATTTAAGGCCGCCATGTGGCTGAGTCAGTGGCCAAAGAATTATTTCTATTTTAGAAGCACAAGCTTATCTGTACCCAGGATTATTTTGGATCAGTAGTAGATTCACTGAAACAGCGAAATGGAAAGCATCTTCACGTCGGCAGGGAGTCCGAAGGGGAGTGGGATGGAATTCTGCATCGCGAGATCCCCTTCTGTTCACCACGCTCCCCCGCCGACGCAGCCTCTCTGGTTGGAGGCCATGTGTCTGCATGAGAAGCGAGGGCGAGTCTTCCAGGACACTGTTGAGTCATGTCTACTTTGAGAGTTTGATGAAAGCCATGAACGCTTTCCAAGGAAAAAAATCGACTTGTAAACAAACAAAATGACCATGGAAATCTCCAGCAAGGCCCTTTGCCCTTTGAAGCTCAGGGTGAGAGCCTGTGTTTGAAAAGAAGATCCACACAGCTGCATTTTCTCCCCTCTCTGGAGAACCAATAAATATTAGCAACTTCAATTATATCACCATAGTAACACCCATGACCCTCAGATCCCTCCTGGGTGGTCCCCTGAGTGTGTGACAACTCTGTAGTCCGTGCTACCTGGCATCTCCCAGGGCACGTAGGTGTGAGACTGTTCTAAGATGCCAGGCTGAAAGAAAACCCACCGTAAATAATCTAGACCCTGCACCGATATTTATGAGTCTTTTTGAGAGTACTGTATCGAAGATGACTATACACAAGCTACTACTGTCCCTATTACATGTACATTGCTATTTTTACTTTCATGGCTTAGAAACCAGATTGGTGAGATGGGGCAGTTGGCTAAACAGAACCAACTGCCCCTGTCTATTTGCTCATTCTTATCACATGTTACTAAGGACCCAGCCTTCTTCCACGACCCCTGGGGGGAGTCTGATGGGCTGTTATTTGTATGTCTTATCAGCAAGTTCCTGAAGATACAGTGCCTGGAGGATGGAACCTGGGAGCAAGGCAGCTGCGTCCCGGTGGTCTGCAAGCCGCCCCCTCCTGTCTTTGAAGGCATGTATGAATGTACCAACGGCTTCGAGCTGGGCAGCCAGTGTGTGCTCAACTGTAACCAGGAAGGCGAAAGGGTAAGGATGACTGCAACTTTGTTTTGGATCAGGCTGTGCCCTGGCCTTGATGACCAATCCAAGAATGTTGAGTAGAAATGATATAAATTCATCCCAACAGGCAGGGTCTTACCAAGTTGGGATTCCAACCTGGGGTATTGATACGATTTCATAGGGAATTCAGAAGGTATCATAGTCTGAAGTTTTCAGACTATTCTTTTAGAACGTTCTCTTGGATAAGAAGAAAAACCTGATGATTGGGGTACCTAGACAAATTCCAGAAAATGCTGGGGTTCCGATTGGCAGTGTGATTTCCTGCCATGTGTGGCCACTGACCTAGCATGGCTAGGAAATAGGAGCATGTTCTTCAATGAACAGTCCTGAACACATACATGAGTTCCTCCTCAACACAGGCACAGCCGAAAGTGCTCTTCGGTTATTATTCTCTCTAGGATTTTGGCAGAAGAGGTCCCAAGTGAAAACCACAGTCTTATCATGGTTATATGATTAAGATCAATTTTATTTTGGAATCTTTACAAATACCGCACGCTACAGGAGACAGGAAGTAAGCAGACTCTCTAGGCAAAGGTCAGTGACCTTGACTGCTCTCCTGACCCATGTGGTCATCTCAGGGTCTAGCACTCCAAGATACGCACCACAGGGCAGATGTGTAAAGAATATGCCACGGATACGACAAGAAATCAAACACATCTGTCTGTGCTGACTGTTTAAGGACTCACGAAGTTGGCCAGATGAAGGGAGAGTTATCTATAGTTCCAAAATCTCACCTTCTTGGGTTTCGCGAGTTAGTGCTGTCGGGTATGTTCTGCATACAGGATACTGTGTGTTGTTGGGGGTGTGAAGCCAAGTCACTCAAGCCAGCACACATGTGGAGAAAGGCGACAGAACTCGGGTGAGATCCAAAGCAACCCTGTTGCAGCCCTTCAAGCAGAAAGGCAAAACGTACCTTCAGAAATATTATGAATTGGTTTCACTGGACCGAACTCATCTTGAAAAGCATCTGACACTGGCCACACACAGCATTTGCGTGACAGTATGGATGAATCAATGCAAAACAGTACCATCTGGAAAAAAAAAATTCCAAAAATATTTCAGAATACATGGGTTACAGTTGTTAGCTCATCTATGCTTCTAGCGAAAGGAAGACACATCGTGAATAAATTTTATTAATGACAAAGTTCTTCATTATTCCTTTATATCAAAATAGCAAAAAAAGAAATTTATTATGACCTTTTTGGGTCAGTAACCACATGATTTATTATTTCAATAGTGCCTTTTAGTCTAAGTTCTAGAAGTTGGAGAACACTCCCACTTGGCCAGCCCCTCCCCCACTCTAAATGAAGTCCACAAAGGGATCATGAAGTATCCTTTGCCTTTGATGTTCTAGCATCCCATCGTCTGCACAAAGGAGGGACTGTGGACGGAGGAGTTCCAGTTGTGTGCGAAGCTACAAGGGGAATGCCCGCCGCCCTCCTCGGAGCTGAATTCCGTGGAGTACAAGTGTGAACAGGGATACGGGATCGGTAAGTCCGGGAAGAGATGCCGAATCCTGCTCCCAAATGATCTTTTCATAGGCCTGGCTGGCTCTTGAGTAAGATCCACTGTTCTCCCCGAGGAGTGGACGGGTATGCAGGTGGACTCTGAGATGCTTCAGAAATGAAGACTCTGTGGCAAACCCATCCTTTGACATCCACGTGTGTGGACGGTTGGTGCAGGTGCCGAGTCATCTGCAGAGTCTGTGCAGTCGCCCATTTCCCTGCAGGCCTCCAGTGGGTGAGTCGCGGGAGGAGCTGCAATTCCAAGAGGAGAGGTGGGGAGGAGGAGCCACACGCCCGGCCTGCCGGGGCGCTCGTCCGTGCCCTCGGCCCTGTGGCCGCAGCAGAGTGCTCCTGAAAGGACGCCTCGGGACTGCACTTGCTTGTGTGGCCCTTCGGCCACTCTTTCTCTGCAGAGGACCCGGCTCCAGAGCCTCTGGGCCGTTTCTTAATCATTTCAATTAAATGTCTCGGTGGCCAGAGCTGATTTATAGTGATGTCGACTCCACTTGGCCCTGGCTGGACCGGAGCATCATGGGAAAGAAATGCAGTTGTTGGAAAACCTAGTGAGATTCACCCCAGGTCTACACGCAGCAGCGATTCTATGTCATTCTGGTGTGTAATGCCCGTGGGCATAATTCGAGTTCATGAGAAAGCTTGCTAGTTTCTGAGATGGTTCTTTACTATCTACAGATTGCTCTTTGCACCAAGATATCTTGAGGTCAGGCCTGGGCAGTGGGTGTTTGGACCAGGCCTCTCGGGTGGTGTTTCGGGAGCAGATTCTCATCTCTCCACCCTCTGAGGTCTACATTGAAAGGTCATGCACTCACACGTACAGAGCCCTTCAAAGTCGTGTAGCTCTGAGTCATCATACAAGTTAGCGAAAACCATCACAATAGAGAGTGAGCACTGCAAAGAAACTTGGGGATCATCGAACCTATAGATGCGGAACTAGAAAACCCTAGACCGTGCCTTCTTTGACAGACACTGGGACTCTATCTGCAAAAGAATGGAGTGAGATTCTCCTTTAAGAGGCCAACATCTGAGCCCTGGCCAGTTTGGCTCAGCGGTTAGAGCGTCGGCCTGCAGACCAATGAGTCGTGGGTTCGATTCTGATCAAGGGCACCTACCTCGGTTGCAATTCATCCCCGGCCCTCGTCAGGGTCATGCAGGAGTCAGCCAGTCGATGTGGCTCTGTCACATCGATGTTTCTTTCTGTCCCTCCCTCCCTCCCTCCCTCCCTCCCTCCCTCCCACTCTATCTGATAATAAGTAGAAACATATCCTCGAGTGAGGAATAAAAAAAAAATAAGAGGCCAACATGTGACAAAATCTCGGCTTCTGATTTCCTGTTGTTCCTCTTTTAATCACACCTTTTACTTGGCTGCCAACATAATGATCGTCAGTGTAGACAGTATAAATCTGTCTTCATAATTTCTGGGCCCGCTAGTAATGTTTGCAGGAGTAGATGCTACCGTTATCAGCTTCAGACAACCCTATGAGCAGGAATGATATTACATGTATGTAAAACGCATCAGTCAGTCAGGATAGAGGTTCGCTAGCCGGAGTCTCGGAGTGGGTCTTGGAGGTCAGCTGGCCCAGGACTGAACCTTGTAATTGCTGGAGCACAGATTCAGAGACTTCAAAGGAGCCTTGGACCAGGAAGAGGAGGGGTCACTGGGACACAGGACGTTCATTTGGGGTCAGAGATGCTTCACCAATTAGTGTAGAAAGTATCTTTACAGGTGCATAGAAGATGACTATAAGCCCTGCCCATCACCACGATAATGGTGAGCCATAGCATAGAAAGAAATTGGTCTTGAAAAGTCAAAACTATTGATTCCAGGATGAAAAAGGCTGAGATCGGGGAAGTTCGAGCATCTGCTGTAATTCTCTGTCTCTTCAGGTGCAGTGTGCGTCCCATCGTGTGCAGTGCCTCCTAATGACCCCGTGACCCTGCCCGAGAACATCACTGCAGACACTCTGGAGCACTGGATGGAGCCTGTCAAAGTGCAGGTGAGGGAAGGGACGGGGTGCGTTCCAGGGACGCAGCGGTTTCCAACAGGCAGCCTGTTCCCTGGGGCGGTTTCAGGGGCTTCCCAGCATCCTCAGTGCAACAACGTGGGTTGATCCTGCACAGGAGGGTCGCAGCTCAAGAAGAGACAAGGAAACGCCGGAGAACAGAGATGGCCCACAACCCAAAGGAACGTTTCAAAAGATCATAGAGAAGGAAGACTGTGAGACATAAAGAACAATAATACAGGAAGGGAATTAAAAGAGAAAAAGATTAGGGCAGGAAGGAAACTGGACTGGGGCGGTGGGCAAGCAGTAGAACACGTGGATGTCGAATGATCATGTTGTACGCGTGAAAATCGTATCATGTTAGTCACCAGTGTTTTCCCAACGAAGTTATGTTTCTTAAAAAAAAAAAGAACAGGAAAACTAAGTTAAACCAAGTAAATGAACAAAGATTAAAAAAAAAAAAAAGGATGGAAAGGGAAAGATGAATTAGGAAAAGATACAGATAAAATTGAGAACAGGAGAGGATGAGGAGAGGAACTGAGTGCATAGCTCCTGAACTTCCAGATCAATGTTCTTTATGCCGGGAGACAGCCGAGGGCTAGCCCAGTTAACACAGCGACCTCGAGAGGCTAAATGAGCTGCCCCGGGCTCTCTCAGCTCCTTCACAGGTACTGGAAAGCACAGAGCGTTGCTTATGAACCACGGTCACCTAGGATGGTTCGCTTTCAGGACATTGAAATTGCGCTGTAGCAAGAGAGATGTCCATGGAAGCGGTGGGAGCCACGGCAACGTCCTTGCTCTCGTGTTACCAGATCCTCACAGACGACACTGTGCACCGACCACGGATGGTTTCACGTGGCCTGCCACTCTGTGGCCCTCATTGGCTCGTGAAGGGTGGGAAATCTAACCTTGTCCTCACAAATAAGAACAAATATAAACCAAAAGCGGTTGTAGTAGATGAAACTCTTCAATGAGTAAAACCCTTATAACTTACACGGATTTATTTTGAGGGTTGAGTCACACTCAAGCTTAGATTCGGGTGTCCTGAGGAATCACTTGAGCAGTCTGTAGTAGGAACAGACCAGGGTCCACCCTCCGGGGATGCCTTGGAGTATGTGTCTTTAACCCACCGCACCCCCCAGGTGACCCCAGTCCTGCTGCCAGAAGCACTGCTATCCCCAAGTGAAATACTGGGAACATTACACTGTAGGTGCCCTCGAGGCACACCTATCTGGAGCCTGGCTCATGAGGTTCATGCACTGTGCGCTCCTGTTCTGTGCAAACCCCTTTGGACCCCCTACTTTGTACCCGGTCAGACTACAGAGCCCGTGGGTTCCACTGCAGCGTGTGCCCTAGTCTGCGTCCAGTGGCTTCATTCTTCCTGCTAGAGCGCCCCCTGGCGTGTGGGAACACGGTGTTGTCTTCAGGCTTGTGTGTGTAATACATATTTTAAAATATCTTTGCAATTTTATTTGAATCTTATCACGGGCCCATAAACTAGGAAAGGAAGATTTTGTTACTGTTATTCATCCACATGGTAGATGCTGTTGGATACGTGCAAGGTTGCACCGCGACAGGAAATGGAGAGCGAGGTGCCGTGGCTGTCCCTGAACCACCTGCCCGCCTGCTGGCTGGAGCCTCACGGTGGTGGGGTGCCGGTTCCCTCCCTGACGTGGGATTGGGTCAGTTTGCCTGTCAAATAGAAAATACATCACTTCTCTCGCCTACGAGGGCGCCCGCATCACCACACCTCCGTCCCTCCCATGAGGGTCCCCAGAGAACAGAGAAACTTCTCTCCGTAAAACTGCTTGTCCTCGCTATGCAAGGGGCTGCTTTCGAGAACAGCCAAGCGCACTGTGTCGATGCCACACACTCTTTGCCTGTCTCTGGGGTTCTACTCGTTTTTATCTCCAATTCCTAGAACAATATACTTTTTTTTACTAAAGGAAGACTTTGTTGGGTCTTAGGTAGCCTGGGGTGTTGATGAAAAACAACTCAAAGTATCAGTGGCCTAACAGGGAGAGTCCTCCTGAGCTCAAAGACTGTGTCCTCTTTAGACTGTGTCCTCCTTAGACTGTGTCCTCCTTAGACTGTGTCCTCCTTAGACTGTGTGACTATCCTGTGGGGTCCTGTCTGTCTGCTCTCCAGCAAGGTCAGGATGGCAGTCTGTCCTGCAGAGTTGTCACAGAAACTCCGGATAACACCTGTGGAACGTCCTGCACAGTGTCTAACACGCAGTTTTGAATTAAGCAAAAACTATTTCTTTCAACGCACTTAGTACAAATCTTAGGAAATTGTCTTCAGCTCTGGAAGGATATCACCAGCTAGCTCTATCAGAAAGAAAAAAAAGATAGTTTTATACTCTGTGTGTGTGTGTGTGTGTGTGTGTGTGTGTGTTTACACAGAAATGTGTAGATCATTTATTTGTCTTTTTTCTGTCTCTTTTCCAAGTGGGGCTGGGAAGAGATTTTATGGCCATTCAGTGTTTCCTCTGGGAACACCTCTGACTAAAGAAGAAATTTCTAACAGCTTTGGTTGTGAGACAGAAGAGAGGAAGGATGAAAATGTGCTATGATTTTTAAAACTTTTCAAGGGCATGCAGGCTGTGAGGGGCAAGAGGGAGGGTCGACATTCTCAAGTGGACTCGGGGCCTTTGCTGTGACTGCATCTTCCTCCCCCTGCTGCACACAGACATCTGACCTTCCCCGGGTGACGGCATCAGCGGAGAACTGTCCTGACAGAAAGAAGGTGCCACACCAAAGGGCTCTTGGCTGTCGAATAAAGGCCTGCCCAGCAAGGGGATGAGCCGTGGCCTCTGGCCGCAGGGACAGGCAGGAGCCAGCCCGCTGTCGTCAGCACTGCTGCTCACACCCAGAATCAGGACCCTCTGCCGACCACCTGCTGCAGGACCGGACGCCTCGGCCCGGGGCACTGAGCTCGGGAGACCTCCTCGGACTTTTGCTGAGAGCACTTCATACTTCCCTCATCTCTTTTCCCCCTTCATTTTTTTTCCTTTTCTTTTCTCTTTCCTGTCATTCTAACACCAAAAACACAAGATTGCTGAAGGTAGAAACGGTGCCCCAGTTTTATCCCCGGAGCTCCCCCGTGCACTGCTCCTGTCGTCTGCTCCTAAGAGCCCGGTTGGGGATCAAACCCAAGAGCCCAGAGACACGAAGGCTCCCAGCTCCACAGAGCCGTGTCCAGGCAAACCTCTACTTTCCGCACGGCCTGTGCAAGGCCGAATCTTCATAACACTGTGTGGAGAGTGTGGGAGGACATCCATGCCTTTCCTGTGTCAGAGAGGAAAGTCAAGGTTTTGACTGCTGGTGAGGAACAGGTCCTGCAGGAAGCCGACTGCGTGGAGAGATGACGTTCTGCGCACAGTGTGGTGACTGCTTGCGTGTAAATGAGTTTTTCTGAATTATATTTGAACGTGTTCCTCTCTGAAGTACAAAAGCGTCCATCATAGCCTCCTATTTCCCCTAGTAGTCTGCCTCACAGATGCATTTTTTACCAGACAATGCTTTGCTTTGCTGTTTGTAGTATATTATAATTGTGAAGTCCAAATGATTCTGGCGAGGTCCAAATTAATGAGCTTTTCCTGCGGCCACAACACATTTGCAAATTCTCAGTGCCGCATGAAATCCCTTTCTCAACTCCCCAGTTTTTCAACAGAACTGCTCAGTCAAAACAAATCTTACAATTTCTGGCTCTGTTTTCCAAAATTGGTCCCCAAAGGATTAATAATTACTAAAATAAAAACAGAATGTTTTAAGGGGAAGAGAGAAGCAGGGAGAAAAATAGAAGACAGGGCCCGCCTGGGCCGTCATTTCCAAGTGAATAGTCTCACCCTTCTGTCTGCTCATGTCCTCAGCCTTGCCACCCCCTCCCCCAAGCGTCCCCTCGAAGGGGACAGTTGCGTCTCACAGCTCCAGTCGCACTTGCCACACAACAGTGGGAAAACAAATCGCTCAGTCCCATGAGCCACGGGAAGGTCTTTCCCATCAGTCCTGGGCACGGGATTGCTCACTCTGTCTGGACACGTCTCTGGGCACGAGTCCCTCGTTGCTGGAGAAGACTGGACAGGAGGGTCTGAGGGGCGGGGGAAGAGGACCTGGACAGCAGGTGGCAGGGCAATGTGCTGTGGGCAAACAGATGTGCAGAACAACACTGCCCTTCATGCAGGTGGCCACATCTCTAGAGACGAGGACCTTGTCCCGAACACGGGCAGCAGCAGAGCTCCGTGGTCCGCTGTGATGAGCCAAGCAACTATTGGAATAGAAAAAAAAAAATTGAGCAATTTTGTGTTACATCTTAATGTTGGCTAACATCAGTCTTGTGACCTTTAACTAGGCGTTTAACTAGGCAACAGCCTTAAACCATCCCAGTAACCTTAAATGGTTCCCCCTCTCCCTCTCGCGCGCGCTCTCCCTCCTCCCTCCTCCCTCCTCTCTTCTTCCCTTTTTTCTTCTCTTCCTTTTTTTCTTGCTTTTAAAAATGTTTTAAACGGCCCAACCAACTTCAATGGTTCAAATATTTATTTTTTTCTGAACCTCTTTCTATTAGAAAGTTCAAAACAAATTCTTAGCACTTATTCATGCACAGTGAATTCATCTGAGAAGTGACTTGCCAAGGGAATCTTAGCAATCGTTGTAACCATATACAAACATATAGAAATTATAATTTAAAAATTCAAAATAGCTGTTACCCAGGAGGGAGGAAGGAAGAAGAAGGATAATGGAGGGACACATTTGGGGACATTAATTAAATCTTTAGTGCCTTATTATACTAAGGAACCAGATACAGCAAATTGTTAGGATTTGATAACGTTGGGCAGAAGATACAAAGTTGTTCTTTCAATTATTCTCTATAGCCATTCAAATGTAACATATATGGTTATAATTTGTCAAAATGTTCCAGAAAATAAGAAAATCATATTGAGCTGTTAAAAGATAAACTGAGCCCTGGCCAGTTTGGCTCAGTGGTTGGAGCATTGGCCTGCGGACCAGAGAGTCCCAGGTTCGGTTACTGTTAAGGGCATGTACCTTGGTTGCAGTTTGTCCCCGGCCCTGGTTGGGGTGGTGTGGGTGGCAACCATTCAATGTGTCTCTCTCACTTCAATGTTTCTCTTTCTCTCTTCCCCCCTCTCTCCTCCCGCTCTATCTGAAGATAAATGCAAAAATGTCCTCGGGTGAGGATTAAAACAAAAAAAGATAAACTGAACCCTGGCTGGTGTGGCTCAGTTGGTTGAGTATCGTCCCATGCACCACAAGGTTGGAGGTTCGATTCCCGACTAGAGCACATGTCTGGGTCGCAGGCTCCATCCCCAGTAGAGGGTGTGCAGGAGGCAGCTCATAGATGGTTCTCTCTCATCAATGTTTCTCTCTCCCCCTCCCCCTTTCTCCCTCTCTAAAAACATAATTTAAAAAATTTTTAAAAAGATAAACTGAGGCATGTTAAAATTGTAAGAGTTTACTTGAGCAAAAATCAATTCAAGTGGGCGATGCCAAACTGGAAGTCGTTAGGAGTGCTTCCCCAGGGACAGGCTTTATTATAGAGAAAAGGCAGAAGCAAAGTGAGGACATTATTGCTTGGCTGCAGCTTAAAGGTTTGTTGGCAGATTGTGATTGGTGGTCCTTACGTTTCGGTTTCATGGCCTTGAGGAAGTCGCAGGCGTGGGCTCTGGTTGGCCCGTTTTGGAAGCTGCCATGGCAGGGGACTCAGTCCAATGCCCCTTCACTTAACTGAGTGACACGCTCACCAGGCCCGGCTGTGCCCCTTCTCCCAGCTTCCGCTTTCACTCCCGTCTCACCCCGCCACCACAAACGTGCCCATCAACGGTGGGTTCCAAAGGACATTTGAAAATGTCCCCCCGGTTCCGGTCGTTAAGTAGCTCAGTTCATGGCCCGTGCGTGCCTTTGCTTAGGGTGAGCGACTTCCAAGCCAGAAGACAAAGATGAATTCTGGGGACGCAGCAGCACATTTCGTGCTGCAGTTACTCAGAAAACATCGTCTCTCTCCGTCACTGGGACAAGAGATGCGTGTGGGACGCTTCTATTCTCAAGGACTTTGCGGTCTAGGAAGGCACATGACACAGGGACCAGGTGCATTTGCGATTTCATAGAGAGGAAAGAAAGTCTGAATTCGTCTCAAGACTGACTATAGAGCATTAAAACAATGGGCGGGGGTACTGTCAACTTCACTGTCATGCACTTATTCAAAGGGTATGTTTGCACGCGTATGAAATGATTTATGCATAAGCTTTGTCTCTTAGAACAAACTACCCATCCATATAGATCTAGTTAAGTAAATTAGGGCACGTCCAGGTGATGGAGTGCTATGCGGTCAATAGGATATAGCAGCCCGGATACTATAAAATGCAGAGAACCCCCAAGAAACATTGTGAAGTGAAAAAAAGTAAGGCAAGCAGACAGCCGAGTATAGAATAAAATTGCAGTAGCCCGTTATTCGTGTGAGGAAGTAAAGCGTCGCACACACATGTGCCGTGTACGCGTGGACTGTGACGATGCCGAAGAGCACGGAGACGGGAGGGAGGAAGTCGGTAGTGGGAACAGGAGCAGGGGGCAGGTCACGTCCCCTTTCCAATCTTTTATATTTTATTCTGTGAGCATATATCACATGATCATGAAATAAACCTGCATAAAAATAAAAAGATATAAACAATAAATTGGAAATAACAGAGAAAAGGGCCCCGGGGAGAAAGAGTTTCCTTTGCAGCCTGTTATGAGAATTTCTATCGTGTTACCTAAAGCCAACACCCCTGCATGTCCAGGGGTGGCCTGGGGAGAATGTTCGGAGGGGAGAGAAGCTAACACACGAAGTTCAGAGTGTTCTGGAGAGTCATCCTGAGAGGGTTTCAAGGTCAAGTATTCCTTTATTGGTGGATCTTCACATCCCTCCTGCTCCCTGGGACGCCGGCTCCCAGTGCGCGAGAGGTACCCTGCCCTTACTGAACGCCTGACTGATGAGGGCCGGGACTGGGCATGCCCCGTGGATGGACAGCTACGACAAGGAACCAAGTGGCCAGGTTTTGACATGTTAAGGGCACGTGCTTGTATTGTTATTACTGTTTACCTGGCGATCGAGTTCCGCTGGTACCTGCTTTAAAGCGTAAAGGAGAATCGAGAAAGGTTTCTCGGTGGCCGAGCCTAGCCTAGAAGTAAGCAGAGTGCTTCCCCAGCCCGAAGCGGGGAGAACAGCTTTCTCAGGGGCTGAGCGCCCCGTGGTGTCTGACTTATGAATCTGTCATCCTGAGTAGAGTTCATCCCTTTTTGAAGTGCAGTGGTAACTTACGCTGCGGTACCTTCTACGTGATTCCAGTATGGAATTTTGAATACCAAAATGTGTCGGGATTCATAGTATTGATTTCCTTTTAGGGAAGCTGTGAAGGGGGGAGATTTAGTTTATGTAGTGTAACTCCAGGAGAAAATGACAGATTCCTATTCTCATAGCTGGCTATGAGGGATGTATTTATATACTCACATATTAGTGTATGCACATGTCTCCAATCTGATCTTAGCCGTGTAGAGCATATGATTTCCAATCACTAGAGGCGCTATCCTGTGTAAAGCTCATGTCTCCCCATGTGTCATTTTTCTGGTTATTGAACTGAATTCCTATTGAACAGAATTAAAATGTGAGTATGAAAGTCTGCAAATGGGTGGGTAGGTAGTAGGCTCTGGAGAGACTCTCCCTTTCTCTTAGAAACCTTCTCTTTTCCTGAAGCACATCTTTGGAAATTTTAAAATCCAAAAAGGAAAAGGAAAACGCTCAGTGAAATCAAGTTACTATTTAACAAAGAGTAGATGACTATCGAGATGGACATCTGGGCGTTGCTGTTGGGAAGGAGAAAGTCACCTGTGTCCTGACATGAGTGTGTTCTCACACTCACCAGCTTAATGTTGGTGCTCTTTTGAGGCCCGGTGGTTCCCATCAACCCCATTGGCCAGGGCACAGACCCTCTCAGTTCCTACCCAGAGGAGGAAAATGGTGCTCACAAGGGTCACGGGAAGTGCAGTTTAGCCTCCAGTCCTTATGAGGGCGCTCACATCAGATGCTCTAGCATTCCTGAGGTCCCTTTCTAGTTCAGGACTCTTCTTGTGCAGATCTATTTCTCAGCCTTTCAAAACCCATGTTGCTTCCTGATCAACACAGCCACCTCACTGTTTGTTGTCACATCATTTAAAATGTCAAAACGAATGAAACCAAGGATATGCCCAAGACTGTGTTATATACTCTTTATAATATTGAAGATGGTTTTTTTCACCACACCTCCACTCCTCCACGGCCGCCCTGGAAATGTTGATACCTTGGGGAGGGAGAAGGAGGGGGAGAGGATGAAAAGTCCCCTCCACTGAGAGTTTGGGCTGTGGCACCATCGGCAGGAAAGTCCACACAGCCTTGACCTTCTTTGTGGGGCACCGTTGGCGTCTGGCCTTGGGGAATGGGGTTGGGCTGGTGGGGTAAGCTTAGGATGGGCCCCTTGTCTCACTGACCAGGCACCTGTTGCTTCTTTCTGTCTCCTCCAGAGTATTGTGTGCACTGGGCGTCGGCAGTGGCACCCGGACCCCATCCTGATCCACTGCATCCAGTCCTGTGAGGTGAGTCGCCTCCCCGTCCCCAGACCCAGCCCTGACTTCTCTGCTAAGGGCCGGGAGCGTTTCTAATTCAAGATCCGGCCTTTCTCCACTTCTGTGTGGTTTGTTTAATTTCTTGGGTTTAGCTCCACAATCCCACAATGACGGATATTAGGATTTCTGATTCTGGCTTTTCTTTAACAAAATTCCAGGGTTTCACTTTAAGTAACTTAATAAAAATTAAGTTAAAAGCAAATCAGGATTATTTATGGTTTTGGGATTCTCGAACAGGGCCTCGTCAGAGCTTAATTAGATCAGCGTTTTGCAGGCCGATGGCCCACAGACAGGTTTATTTGGCCAACACAGTGTCTAAAAACAATCTTGTTTTGATTGCTAATATTTAAAAATTGGGATTTTTCACATAAAATTCATGTGTGTATATAAAACATTTCACACACACATGCACACATACTCCAAGTAAAAATAAATATAAAACACTCTGTGCAAAGATTTTTCTCTTGAAAAACAAGAATATCTGGCAACAATTAGCTGGATCTGAGTAGCAGCTACAGCCCCAGAAGGGCAGCTGTTCTTCAGGTCAACATGTTTCTCCCCTCTGCCTGTGACTTCTTACCTACTGGGCCTCCCTGGTTTTCATCAGCTACCTGGGCCATGCAGACATCTGTGTCCCCACCTCTGAGGTAGACCCGCAGCCTGCTGCTGAATGTGCCCAGCTAGACCTCGCTACCTCAAGGAGTCCTGTCAGCTTCTTCCCAAGGGGCATTCCCTACCCTGGCGCACCTAGGGTGCTGGGAATTCCTTAGCTGAAGTAACAGGAGTGATTACAAGGAAGCGTCATGAATGAGACAGAGCCTCGCAGGTGGAGGATGACCCAGGAATCCTGACACGGAGAGGCGGGGTGGTTTGTCACATGCAGACACACCGTTTAAGCTCTCCCACCCTGGGAAGAGCCAGTGATAAATACAAATACTCTGGTCTCAGCCACGACAGGTGTCGTCCAGATCCCTCGCTGGAAGTAGCTAAGCCACTTTGCAGCAGTCCTTGGGTTGTTCCGGCCGCAGCTGTGCTAGAGCCAGCTGTTTGGCGGCCATGGGCTTCCAGCACCCTGTCCCTACACCCACCCAGCCCGCGTGCATGGCAGCCCCTCCATTCTTCTGTCTACGTTTCTCTTGGTCCAGTTCTGGGAAACTGGGATGTACATGAGGCCAAAGAAGGGGAAAGGGTGGGGTCCGAGACAAAGGGAAACGAGACCAATAAAATCGTGTTCCGAGAGGGCATCAGGAAAAAGGCGCGCACGGAGTGAGCTTCGGGGTGGTGTGGGCCAACAAAACAGCTCATCTTCTGCCATCATTAGAAAAACAGATGACAGAGGGTGGGGAGGAGGGGTGACTCATGCACTGGGCAGGGGGTACGAAGTGGGAAGAGGAGGCCAGGGAAAGAGGGAGATAAACAGACAGAGGACTGGGGGACTGGGACCGGATCAAAGGATGCTGAGAATTCCCTTCTGCTGCTTCAGTGTGTGGTCACAGAGGGAGGGTGGATGACAGGGCTTGGAGCTGCCTCCGGTGTTTCCCGGAAGGTTAAGCACGGAGCTGTCCCGTCCCTCCTCCCCCCCTTGCTGTACATCCTCTGGATCCCTAGTCCAGAGCTCCCTGGGCATCCCTCAGTCCCTTTGTTGATGGGACAAGGAGTGGAACGCCCCTCCCTCTTGCGACTCCCCTGCAAACGTTACCAGGCACAGCCCAGCCTTGACCACCTGACTGCTGCGGGTACTCTCACTTGAGTGGTTCTCAAAGGGTGGCCCCTGGCCCAGCACAGTCGACTTCACCATGGAACCCCTTAGAAATGCACGCCCCGCCCTGGCCGGTTTGGCTCAGCGGTTAGAGCGTCCGCCTGCGGTCCGGAGAGACCTGGGTTCGGTTCCCGCTAAGGGCACGTACTTCGGTTGCAGTTTGTCCCCGGCCCTGGTTGTCGTGCGGGTGGCAGCCACTCGATGTGTCCCTTCACGTCGATGTTTCTCTCACTCTCTCTCTTCCTCTCTCTCCCTCCCACTCTATCTGTACAAGAAAATAGAAAAATGTCCTCGGGTGAGGATAAAAAAAAAAGAAAGAAATGCACGCTCCCCTTTCAGACCTACTGCATCACAGCCTCTGGGTGGGGACCCGCAGCCGATGTCTTGACAAGGCCCCTGGGGGTCCTGAAGACCCCTCACGTGTAGCAGTCACAACTCTAGTCACCATGAGAGCAGACGAGACGCCCCCTAGCCTCTGCTGTCCCCAACTGGAAGCCTTCTTTGTCCAGGAATAATTCCAGCCAACATTATTTATATTCTCATTTTCCGACATTGTTTCCGGAGACTCTCTGGATAGGACTAGATCCGAAAGAACAAGACCTGCTTCTGGTCTTCCAGCAGAGCCTAGGAGGAGGAAGTCACTTAGGGTAGAAAAGGAGGAAAGTAAAGAGAGTCACTCATCCTAGGAGAGGGAAGAAGCAGTCGGAGGACGAAAGAACGACCTGCAGAGAGGTGGGCGAGACTGAGAAACAGCACGAGGGGCAGAAACTGGCATGTTCCAGGGGCAGCTGGGCGGACACCTCATTCTTTACTGGAAAAAGCCGGCTAAGTATACGAGGGGAAACAGTGTCAAGGACAGATGGAGGGAAAGCAGACCGAGCGAGACGAACCTGAGGCTGGGAGGGAGAGAGGGCGTCGTATTAAGCGCGGCACACAGATCTGAGCTCACATTAGACAGTTCTGTTCCTGGTATCGAACAACATTTCCCGTTTTTTACTTTCCAATACTGAAGATAACACCGAGGTGTGCCCTTTAGACACTCACGTGTAAGAGGGCGGAGTCCCTCCCCTCGATTTCTCCCCCTGAGCCCGAGTCGGTGAGCCCCCACCTCACTACCCCAGCCCGCGGTCGCTTCACGTCACCTCTGCGCCTCTGTTTGCGTCAAACCCCCTTCGCCACACGGGTTTCACCTTCATCTCTCCACTGTCGTGTGCCTCCCGCGTTCTCCAGATGACGGACAGCTCTACGGTTTTCTATAAAATATCGTTAAGTGGTGCCGTCTGCTCATTGTCATTTGTGTTCCCGTTGTCTGAGCAAGAACAGGTGTGCAACCCTGGCTGGTGCGGCTCAGCTGGTTGGGTGCCGTCCTATGCACCGAAGGGTCGCCGGTTCGATTTCCAGTCAGGGCCCCTGCCCAGGTTAGGGGCTCCTGGGGGAGGGGGATGTGCAGTAGGCGGCTGATCGATGTTTCCTTCTCTTTCTTTTCCCTTCCTCTCTCTCTGAAAAATCAATTAAAAAATTGTTTTTAAAAAGAGAGAACATGTGTGTACTACATATCTGCAACCCAAACATGTTCATAACTTAGATTTTATTTTTCTCTCTGTTTCTCATGTCTGGCCTTCTGGACCTGAACACTCCTTGTATTTTCTGGGGTGTTTTGTAAGTGGCAAATGGGCAAGGAATAGTGAATCCGTTGATGGAAAGGTTTTGGAGTCAAACAAATGTAGATTCAAGTCCTGGGTCCGCCTAGTGGTGTGAGCCTTCGTGTGTTCACGGGCGGTGGGAAGCGGGCCCGCAGAGCTGTGGTAAGGAACGGCGGAGGGATCAGTGTATGTGAAGCACCGAGTGCCATGCCGCATCTGGGGCTTAAGGATGCTTGCGAAGGGCTGGCATCGTGAACGGGGTAAGTGTGGCAGCAAACGGGCGGAGCTGCTGGTGGGTCTCCGCGTGGTTAGGCACAAGCTCTGAACACAGGAAGAGAGAAAGAACCAGAGAAGAAAGGAAACCGGCCATGCCGTGGAGCCCCTGTCATCTGTGACTCCCAAGTCACTTGGAGACGCTGCGGTGTCCAGGTCAGCTGGCCACCAGATTATTAGCTGGGCAGCTCCACTCACCCTCAGTTGGGGCCTCAGTGGTTCTCACTTGGACTATTGCACTGGTTTCCTCATTGTTCTTTTTACTCCCAGACCTGTGCCCACTAGAAGTATAGACAAGCATACAAAAGTCCGTGTCACTGTGCAGAAAACAAATATTTATTCTGTCAAATGCTTGTCCAATAAAGTGTACTCTTTTCCCAGCATGGAGAGAGAAAGAGAGAGGGAGACAGAGAAGGAAAGAGAGAGAGAGAGAGGAAGAGGGAAAGAGATAGAGATAGAGAGAGGGGGAAGAGAGAGAGAGAAAGAGGGAAAGAGATAGAGAGATAGAGATAGAAAGAGAGAGAGGGAAAGAGATAGAGAGAGAGAGAGAGAGAGAGAGAGAAAGCGCCTTCATCTTGGGGGGTAATAACTGAACTGAGTGTTCATTCCGTCACAAACACTATGATGCTGTCAGATATGTGAGTGTTAACCTCTTTCTTCTTTTCTTCCTCCCTTCCTTCCTCCATCTCTCCCTTCCTCCCTCTCTCCCTGCTTTCCTTCCTTCCTTCTTCCTTTCTTTTTCATAAGGTCACATTTATTATTTTTTTCAAAATTCACCATCCTCGGCTCCACTTAAACTGAGAACATCCTGTTCTCTAGGGAATAGAGCTGAAAATAAAGACCACATGTACAGCCGCCTTTGGGACAGAAATGATGCATTTCCTTCCTGGGGGATGATTAAGACTGAGTGCCCTTGACCTACTCGTTGGCTGTTTCTGCTGCGAGCATGTTGTTCTTGCAAGTTCTCCCCAGGAGCTGCCCATTGGACCACAGGTTCTGGTTCTGTGGTCAGCCCTTTGCCGGTTCTTACTTGTGCCCTTTCCTTCCCATGAACGCAAGTTGCGGCAGAGGACAGAGGAGGGATGATGTCAGGGAGTTAAGTTCAGACTCTGACTTGAACTTGTTAGCTGCGTGTCGCTCTGTCTGGCCTTTCTCTCAGAACTGTGGTAGAAGCAAGTGAACTAACTGATGGTAAGGTATTGTATAAATAGCCGAATAACACAGCATGATAGTCATGATATTGCTTAAGGAACAATATAAATGACTCTGTGGGGACAGGGTCTTATCGTAGCAAC